CTAAGTGGGTGGGGATTCTACAAGCCCTGTAGACCTTCAGGCTGTCCCTGAAGGAGCCTCAGCGAGTCCTCACCACTCCATCCCTCATCACCCCCACCACAGTCAGACCTGCACAATTCATTCCCTGGTCCTGGATCCCAAAGTGGTGCCCAGGGCTGTGCCTGCACCAGCCTGGGTAGGCAGGGACCTGTAGACCAGCTGGGAACTTTACCCCTGTCCTTGCCTCAGACTCAAAGTGCTTTGGGACCAGAAACTGTTTTAGCTTTTTTGGGAACTACAGTGGAGAGGAATCTGGGAGCCCTGCGCTGGAGATCAGCAGGTATTCCTACTACAAACCTTTCAGCTGATTTTGTGCTCCTTTCTGATTTTAGTGGACAACTGTTCCTCCCCTAGAAACCTGCAGAGACCCTGGGCAGGCTCTGCAGTGAGGGCAGGAGACCTGCACTCAGCAGCTTCCTGGCTGCCACCACCCTTGAGGGACCTTTGGGGACCAGCAAGAACCTCTAATTCCTGAGAGGAAATCAGTCAACCAAAACCTCCCCCTGAATGCTGAGTTCCCATCTCATTTCAAGCAGGACAATTCCAGGAGGTGCTGTGCTGTTTATTGTCTCCCTGTCTGTGTGCAGTGGGGATTTTATTAAATTAGCACTTGATAGAATCACCTCATTCCACCCCCTGCCCTGGGAAGGGACAACTTCCACTAGACCAGGTTGCTCCAAGCCCCATCCAGCCTGGCCTTGGACACATCCAGGGATGGGTCAGCTCCTCACCCACCCCAGGTGAGCTCCACACATCCAGCTGGCCACTGGCACAGATGGTGCCCCCTTCCTCCTGTCCCCTGCCCGTCCTTCCCACGCCACTCTCCTGCCATTTGCCAAGACATTATGATGAGAGAAGGGAGAGGAGCTAAAATCATGGAGCTTCACTGCTCGAATTCATCGCCTCCAGAGCTCTCTGCAGACTGTTAACAAAGCACCACTGTCCATCAACAGCAAGAAAACCCAGTGGAAGTGGGATACTTGAACCCTGAACACTCAAGTCTTTGTCCATGATGAAAGCCAAGCTTGTCCCTGTCCATGCAGCAAAGCAATCACAGGCTGGAGAGTGTTTTCCTTTCAAACACAAGCTGAGAGCTTGACTCAGCACGAGCCCGAGGCTCCATTTCCACATCAGGCACAGACCCGGCTCCTTCTCTGTGCACAGAGACATTCACTGAGGGCAGAGGACTCTCAGCAGCTTCCACTTCTCTCCCAAAGGTTTTTGAGATTTCATTTACCTTTTACAAAACGCCAGTTGAAATTATAGAATCATGGAATCATGGAATGGTTGGGGTTGGGAGGGACCTTAAAGCTCATCTTGTCCCAGTGCCCTTCCATGGGCAGAGAACCTTCCTCCTTCCACTCCTCCCCCTCAGAAAAGGGTTCTTGAGCTCTAAAGACACTTAAAAAACCATCAACTGAGCTAAAAAAAAGCATAGGTGTCTCCAGAGTTGGAGAAAAAGTAGGAAGTGCAGGAGCTGCAGTTTCCCACCGCGTGTGGGTTATTAAGCTGACATTTTAACCACACTGAAATAAAAATCTCCCTGCTCAGCTGGCTAATGCCCTATTAGGCACGGGCCCCTGACCAGGAACGGCCCAGCTGGTGATTCATTGACTCAGGAACATGTCCCTGGGCAGTTTGCTCCTGACCCAGCCAGCATGTCCACCCAAGGAGCAGAGCAGCGAGTTTAAAACTGCCTCCTCCAGGGTATAAAACCATTTTGGGAAACTCCAAGGAGCAGACAGATCCATAGAATCCCAGAATTATCTGAGTGGGAAAGGACCTTAAAGCTCATTCTGTTCCATCTCCTGCCATGGGCAGGGACACCTTCCACCAGCCCAGGGTGCTCCAAGCCCCGTCCAACCTGGCCTGGGACACTTCCAGGGATCCAGGCTGCTCCAAGATCCATATATTGACCCACTCAGATGGCAGCTCAAGTGTTCTCAGAGCTACCAACAGCAACACACTCTCCTGACATATTTTCCTTCTCACAGCTCCCTCTCCTCTCAGAAATCACATGGCTGCTCTGAGCAAACACTCTTTCTTTTGCTAAGAAAGCCAATGCAAACACAAATGTTCTGAGGACATTAAAAAAAACCCAACGACACGAGCAGCTTTTGTACCCAGCTCTGTTATCTCCACTGGGAGACAAACAGCCTTTAATGAACAGACTTTCATTTCCCCTGTGCCCATCACAGAGTGCCACCTTTGATCAAATCAGAGGGAAATAAAACAAAGAACAGAAGAAATGCGTTGAGTGTTAAGAAAGTTTGGGAGTTCTAATCTGAAATCATAAATCTCTCCCTTTTTTTGAAGTTGTTACTGGGATGGCTGGAGCACAGCAGGGATTGGGTTGCTGTGTCAGAGTCCCTGCTGCATCATTCAGGTGTGAACACCCCTGGTCCCAGAGAGCAGAGCACCTGTAGCTCCTGCTCTCCATCAGGGACATTGGGACATGATCCACCAGCTCCCATCCTGATGCAGGGCACAACATTCTGTGGATCCCATGTCCAGGGAGAGCCATTCCCTGACATCTTGGGGTCACCAGCCACTCCAGAGGTTTGAATTCAGTTCAGGAGTCACAGTTGAAGGCATATATTTCCTTCAAACACAGGAAAATAAAGCCTTTCCTGACCTCCCCAGCTTCTTCAGCAGGGAAACCCCTTCAGCAGGGAAACCCCTTCAGCAGCAAGAGGTGCCAGGGTCCCTCGACAACAAGGGCAGGACAGGCCACCCACCCTCCGTGCCGTGGTGAGCAGTGAGTTGCCCATCCAGCCATGGTTGGTGTGCCAGTCTCCTGCCTGGTGACTGACAAGGTGTTCAGAGTCTGGGCACTGAGAGAACAGGTGAAGGAACAGGCAGAAATGAGGCTGTAGGACAGCAAACACAACCAGCAGCAGCAGGTGACAGCGAGACAGGAGGTGCAGGAGCCTCAGTGATCCTCAGCTGAACCTGCCAATGGAGCATTCGTGGGAAGCAGCTCCAGTACAAACCAACAGCAGTGAAAGTGCTGATGACCCAAGCCCATGCTTCCAGAAACCCCACCACCCTCAACTTGTCCTGAGTGCCTCGGGCAAACCTTGGGCGAGAAGCGCTGTGGCTCTTGGTGCTGCTTTCCTGACCCTGTGCCGTGTCCCCCTTGCCCTGCTCAGCACCTGCCCCAGCAGCCGGGGCAAGGCCACTCGGCCGTGGGGCAGAGGAGGCGCAGGACACGCTCCCGGATCTGCCTGGTCCTCACCCCGTAAACGATGGGGTTGAGCATCGGCGGCACCACGACGTAGAGGTTGGCGAGGAGGATGTGGACGTGGCTGGGGATGTGGTGGCCGAAGCGGTGCGTGAGGAAGGAGAAGAAGGCCGGCACGTAGAACATGAGGATGACGCAGAGGTGGGAGCCGCAGGTGCTCAGGGTTTTGAGCCGAGCCTCGGGGGTCGGCAGGCGGAACACGGCCCTGAGGATGAGCGCGTAGGACGCGGCGATGAGCACGACGTCCAGCCCCGAGGAGAGCAGCGCCGTGGTCAGCCCGTACCACACGTTGGCTCGGATGTCGGCGCAGGCCAGGCGGGCGATGCCCATGTGCTCGCAGTAGGTGTGGGGCATCACGTTGTGCCCGCAGTAGGGCAGCCTCTTCAGCAGGAAGATGGGCGGGAACATGATGCAGAAGCCCCGGAGGACGGCGGCCACGGCGATTTTCCCGATCACCGAGGGCGTCAGGACGGACGGGTAGCGCAGCGGGTCACACACGGCCACGTAGCGGTCGAAGGCCATGGCCAGCAGCACGGAGGATTCCACGATGAAGCTGAAATGGGTGAAGAACATCTGCGTGATGCAGG